CGTGCTGTAGAGGACGTGGTCGCCCTTGAGGACGGCGATGTCGGGCTGGCCTGGCTTCCCGGGCAGTGTTGAGTCTTGAACTGAGTAACAATCAAAACAGTCAGCTGTGCTTGAGAGTCTTAAGTTGTACTGGACACGACGTGGAACACTCACGGCATGACCTGACGTTGTATGGGACGGCAGGATAGAGCCGCAGCGTCTCGTTCAACGCATGCGTAAGACACGTCAAGTCCTTGATATCCTCATATGTCGGCGCGGCATGGGGCCCAACCCTCTCCAGCACGCGGCTTCGCAACGTATGCCAGATGTCGGGGTAGTTGGACAGTTCGTACATTGTCCACGACAGAGTCGCTGCCGTGGTGTCTCGTCCCGCCAGCAGCACCGCCATGAGCTGGTCGCGAATGACTTTTGGATCGCGCGAGAAGAGAGCCATGTGGTGTAGAAACGTGAATTCTCGGTCTGACTTGGATATTGTTTCCAGCTGCTCGGGGGTGAGGGCCAGCGTGGCTTCGATGAAGGGCTGGATGAAGGCTTCGAGGACTTTGATGCCATTTGTGTAATCTCCTTTAGGGATGAAGCGTCGGAAAGGCCTGATCAAAGATGAGTCAATGTTTAATAACTGTCAATAGCTCATGCCAATTCCGTTGCGAATACTGACTGGAGGATGGTAAGAAGCATCTGTTTTCGCTGAACCTGTGTAAACGCCTTGGAGAACTCGCCATTGGGACTACCAAAGTGTTAGCCAACCATGATATGATCAAGGTATATGGGCTTCAAGCTCAGGAAGGCGTTGTAACTCACTTATCCAAACTCTCGACACTCTGCCCCAGCAGATAATCCGTAATGGCATCCAGCGTCATCCGATAAAACAAATCACAAACATCCACCGTCTGCCCACTCCCCGGCAACTTTGAAATCAACACATCCGTCCACCGCTCCAGGATGTCCAGATCCCGAACCCTCTGCGTCACAAACATGGGCCGGATGAGGTTCCTGCTCTGCTGCCACTGCCGCCCATCCGTCGTGAAGATGCTGTCGCCGAGAAACGGCTCCCACGTGCGATGGAACCGGGGGCCCTTGCCGAAATGCGAAAAGTTGGTGGTGAGCACGGTTTTGACGTGTTCGGGGTCAATGGTCATGATGGAGCGGACGCCGAGGATTGTGGTTTCGACGGCGTGCGGGCATGATGGGGAGGCGTCTGTGAACATGCCTGTGAAGTATTCTTGGAGGCGGTTGTTGGCGTGCATGTAGGCGGCTTTGAAGAAGGCGTAGAATGCTGGACTATGTCAATATCTTGGCTCATGAAAAGTTTCGCTTGAATTTGAGGCTCCCGTACAAGTGATGGGGTTGCCGCCGAGGATAGAGGCTCGGACGCCATTGACCTTGCTCAGGCGATGGTTGATAACCACTCGCTCGAGGATTGCGAGACCGACGAAGAAGCATGTTGTGATGACGGCCAGCGACCATGCTGCGCCTAGGGTCTGCTCTTGTATGCTCTGCAACATGGCAGATATTATCCGGTTGACGAGGCTATACGAGTTCCAATCTCGAATTCACAATCAAATAAACGGGGAGGCTTTAACATTACATGGAATTACAGTCATATAAGTCAGAAATGGTCGAAGATGATAAAATGCCGTTCCCGCGGTCCCCGGTCAGTGAAAAGCCCCGCACGAAAGACACCAGATCGACCGGTTGCCGCCGCTTCCATTTAGCCAAATGCGAAGTGATCCTTTGCTGGATTCACTTCTTTGTCAGTGGCCAGCTAGAAGCTTGATCGTTTATTGAGGCTTGCGTAGGTAACGCTGCTAGTAAAACTAAAGAGGTAGCGCAACGACGACGAACAAGAGTCATTCCCGTTCGGCATTGGACTTGTGGAGAGAATGAGATAATTAAAAGGACGCTTGATGGTTCCTGGACTCGGTTTCTACCGTTCACCAATTGTAGGGATGGAATTGTAGGATGACCACGTAAACACATTACATGTCTATCGATCTAGGACATCCGGATAGCTTTGATCCTACATTCATCAGGCGAGGGAAGCCGCGGAAAGCCGCTGCCCGCGGCATCCGGATCGACCTGTCAACATTTCTCAATGAGCTACACTACTTCAGTAACTAGAAGTGATCTGGATCATCCTCAAATTCAACAAAGCTGCGTCAGAAGAGTCATAGCCGCCGGACGGTCCTGGAAGCTGGACGTAGTAATGATACGTAATGAAGTGCGCGGTCCGTTTGAGAACCCCTGATAGCGACGTAGTAGGCCAAATGCCGTCCAAGGTGGAGTTGAATGCCGGGTTCAGCACATTGGTGAGGCTCTTTGTTTCATCGGCGGATCGAAACATCAGTTCTGGTCGCCGTGATATTGTTGTTTTGTTATTGGTGTGACCCAAAGTAACTCATAATTCGCCAAACCCATCAACCACCGTCGTCCGTGTACACAAGATCAGCAGATAAGATGGCCAGAGAATAGACCGGTATAGAAGTTGTTCAAGTCTCATTCGTTTGATGACTTGCCCGACACCAGAGTTCAGCCTCTCACTATAGCTGCATTTGCATGTCTGGCCAATTCCCTCAGAAACTCGCTCGTCTGCTCGATATGCCT